AAAATTATCGAAAGACGCAATGGTTGTAAAATTTGACAAGATTTTCTAAGTGAAAAAAAGTATGTTGGTGAAAAATACTAGTAGTCTTCTGACAAAATTTTCAAAACCAACTAAATTTTCAAGTTTTTATTGTTATCCAGTTCACTACAATCCTCACCACTGGACATGACTCCAGCCAGACAAAACTGATAACATGCTTAAAGAGCATGACTGACCCCAATTTTGAGGTAATCAAAATTTTTTTCAATTTTTTAAATTAAAAAATAGGACTTTGTTTTAGTGTGCTGTAAATCCTTACCAATGTCCAAAGGAAAAGATTCTGTATGCTGTTGTTCTTTGCTTTCACGATCAAAAACTGACATTCCCCCTCCCCTCTTTTCTATCCCTTAAAAAAAATTAAATGATTTTTTAAAAAGCCAACCAACCCTGATATTTGCTAGTAAACATCATCTGTAAAAATAATATAATCAAAAATAAATTACAGTCCATCTGATCTACCAACCCTGTTTACAGAGAGCTGGGACTAATTTTACTTATTAATTTTATCAGGCCTAACTTATAATTTTTTGCTGGGAAATTTAAGATAATATCTCTGAAAGATATGATGTGGATCTGTTGGTATAAGCAGATATCATAGCTGCAAGCACACCCAATTGTCACCGTTTATGTTATTGTTAAATGCCAAATGTAGTGCAGAATGCCAAAACATGCATAAATTGTATGTTTCTGTGCTCAATAATCACCATTATGATTATTTAAGGTGGGCATGGGATTGTATGTGGCAACAGAGGATAACATTAAGCTCTCTGTACTGTAGTGAGCTAATTTACAATTATAGTACACATCTGGCTGAGACTTCTGCCTTTTCTACTAGTACTTTATTGGCAAGGAGCCTTACATGACACAGAGACTAGTACCTATAATGACAATCTGTGGATAATTAATCTAATATGATAAGGCAAAATGCAACATCTGTGTCAGTCGCTCAATAACATCATTTAACACATACTTCCACTGATCTTTTGGCATGAATTTGTACTGCTGTCAGACTCATTTATCATGCTTTCTTAGACCCCATTCCCAGAGATTAAATCGATCTACTTTAGATCAACCTAACTCCCTGGGGGTTCACGCTAAATAGCTGTCAGCCGAACGGGTACGAAAGTTAATTACCCCCTTACAGCTTGTAGTAGGCAGGACGGACATTTAAGCCGGATTATCTGAGAGTAATCTAGTGAGACTCCCCGCGGGGATAGATCGATCTAAAAGCTTTGGAAATACGCCCATAGACCCCATTCCCTACAGACACCATTGGTCTAAGTGGATCAACCCAACTCTGTGGAGACTCTTGCTGAGTGCAGTCAGCTTAACTGAATGACATGCCTCCACTTGTTTCCAATGTACTTGTATAATCACCAGCTTTTTTCTACACTATTTAAAGAGCAGAAGGAAGTGTGTTAATCTGTTAAACTGATTACATTCACAGGCTAGCACGAAAAAATTCATGCGTTAGCACTCGTATTGACGATTCTGATACGTACTGTCTGTGCTCATCAATAGGAGTGCTAATGCATGAATTTTCGTGCTAATTCACAGGCCTACCCAACTACCAGACTCGGCATCGAATGATCCTGAATTCACCGGTAGATTGGACCACACTACCCGTTTTCAAAGTGTGTGTCAATACGTGCTTCAAAGTATCAGACGACACACCGTTGATCTACTGTGAATTCGGGATCATTCGGTGCCGAGTCTGGTAGTTGGGTAGGCCTGATTCAGTGGAAGCCCCTGCAGATTGAGTTGGGTCAATCTATGTACACCTATGGTGTCTATGGGATAGGGGCCTAAGACTGCTTACACATGCTGCATGAAATGAATTCTGAATTGAAAAGCACCCTGTAATAAAACTGTATCTGTCCTAAAAAGCCAAGATCTAAATCATTAACTTCAATATTGATTTGCTTTACTGTTCCTGCTTGTGCATGTTGTAGATAAGCCTTGAAAAGATCAATTTTGTGGTCACAGTATATAATTAGGGATGTAAATTTGATGGAACTCAATGAGCATTAAATTATATTTTAAGGTCTCACAGAGAGATATGAATATTTTCAGTCTCTACCAATCTGCTTCTACTTGGCAATGCTTGTGCCCTTGCTAGGTGTTGCACTGTACATGTGTAATTGTTTACTGAGACCGCATTCAGATAAACCCATCGCACTTAGCTGGATCAATCCAACTATGTGGGGATTTTCGCTTAGGTGCAACCAATGTAAGTAGCTTAATTGTCTGCCACACCTCCTCAACTATCAAAGGGGATAATTAACTATCGTGCACCCTCAGCTCTAGAAAACTCTTTCACTTGAGGAGGCATGTCAGACAATTAAGCTGATTACACTGAATGCACTTAAGCGAGAATCCCCCTCGCAGAGTTGGATCAATCCAGCTAGTACGATGGTTTACCTGAATGTAGCCTAAAAGTTTAAAAAATAAGGACTCTTTAAATTAGTAACAAAGATGCAGGTATACTTATTTCCTCCAACAGAGTGTCACTTGGTGTAGTTGCCTTGCAAATTAGACATGATATTGACTGCAATTTTAAAACCTCAACACCTGTATCATGACAAAAATTTGACTTTGCAATCAAATATATTTTGGGAGGTTTTCAAGATGTCTTCTTTTAAAATGACATCACAGGTATGAATGATTACATTAAGCCTTTGTAAATTATTCACTTCTCACTATGTAATGTAGAAAAGCCATTTGTAGTCCAGTTTATATTAAGCGTGTCATTAACATTAATAAATGATATAATGAAATTAATATTTATTGGATGATGCTATCCTTTATAAAATATAGCAAAACAAAATCCTTCCTAGTGCATTATTGTCCCATAAAACAAACTGAGTTCAAATTCAGCCCCTTAGTTTCCTCTATTCTTCACAAAGTAAAGGTATATACACTGGGACAGATCTTTGCTTATTTACAACATGAGGAAAATCCTAAGTTATTTCCTCAATAATATGAGGAATATCATTGTATACTTAGAGGGTCCTTCCCTGCAATATAGACAATAGATGAACAAGGACAATAGTTCTAAAATTTATTACTTTTATCATACCCGTCTACATTGACAATTGCCAAAGAGAGAGATGGCCTAGCACACCCTACATCCCCTACCTTGATACACACCCAACTATACATACAAACAAAAAAAAATACTCTTTTACTTTTTATTAAAATGGAACTGTTTTTTAATGCTTTCAAAAGTAACGCCTCATTTTTTTCTTTAGAAATGTTTGCTATAATCAAATGTTCTGACTACACGAAATAACATACGTAGAAAAATCAAATTGGCAAAGTAAGTAATTTGTTAAATTTTAATTTATTAAGTCTTTCAATGTAAGTTTCAAGAATTCAATCAGCTGTTTAAACTCAATGTTCAGGATGGTACTCACACAAAGACCCAACATGGTTTTGTCTTTAGCATTTCTTCCTGTTTACTTCAATCATTACCCTCTGTCTATGAAGTTAACAGAGCAATGGTTAGGTGTTGGCACATTTTCGTGAACAAAGTCACTGCACATTGTAGCAAAGGGAAAGAGAGGTAGGTCTAACAGATTGGGATAATTTTATTTTGAATTGGGAGATGGAGAGATATATATCCAAACTGGGAGAATCCCAACAATGTTGGGAGGGTTGGCTGGTCTGCTTTATATACTAGTATGAGAATAAGCTGACTCATAAAGGCTAATGTTAACCGATGACCCTACTCCCCATGGTCCACTCTCCACTATATTTTGGCTATGTGATTAGTCACTAGCAATCTTGTAGGAAGAATAATATTCTTCCTGGGTTTCATGTCATCAGATATAGGTCATTAAATGGAACTGGGTCACATTCTTGTGGTTAATGGCTTTGACAAAATACATCCTGGACAATTTTCATTTCAATTTAGAAATGTTTATCCATAATTTCCTTAAAGCTACGTATGAAGAAAGAGTACATGTCTGAAATTTCTATACATTTTTAGTGTCTATTTTTTACACAACACAAATATAAAAAAACAACTATTTAGATTAATCTCTTGGGCAGCATAAAAAGAAGAAAAAATTTTAGTCCTTAATCTGACCTTCTTATCCCCCCCCCCCCCCCCCAGTGTAAAGCACAGAGGGTAAGCAGAATATGTATGTGCAAATACCATTTTTCAGAAACTCTGCAGTGTATTTTTCTAACTATTATGGCAAAAATTTGACACACATAATTGCTTAATATGCATCTTTAAGTGTGCATGATCATTTCAACAATTAAAAGAGTTTGTTGCGCATGGATAATGTTTCCATTACTGAAACATAAGCTAAACACCGTGAAATAAAAACCATATGTTAAATAGAGACATAAGAATTTTAAAAAATTAAAAACAGATATATATCCTAATATAATTTAATAAACATTGAATAAAAATGGACACTTGGACACTTCAAAACAATTGGTTTTAAATGTTTTGAGACTTTTGGAAGCATTACAAATTTCCACTTTCTTACCATTGTTCAGTATTTAGAATTTATATCATTCATAAGCCAATTAAGTATATCAAAATCAAATCAAGTAATCATATATATTTTTTCATAAGTATACTATTGATTAAAACAAAACAATGATCACTATGGAGCCTTTGCAACGATTTCAATTTTAAAAAATCATAATAACCTTAAATGACCCAATACTGTAAAACTCTTATTTTCTGTATTTTTTAACACTAATTATTAATATAAAATCATAGATCTAAGATATATAATAAAAAACATTATGAACTTTTAGTTTTAATGACAGTTCTATTTTTCATTTACCTCTGTAGAGTAGAGCAAGTTATCATTTGAACAACCATAATTCTAATACAGTACTGCTCTTTTTATAACACTGGGGGGGCCTACGAGGTCATAAAACAACAGGTTGGAAACTTTTGTTTTGACAGAAACCATAGTCTAAAACTTCCAACTCACCTATGGATGTGGTCCCATTCACAAGTACCTCAACCACGCTCATGTGCTGTGTCGACATTTTAGTAGAAACAGACGCCCTTGAGATACTTCTCTCAGATTCTAGCTCCATGTTGTAGTATTCGTTATCTAGGTACGCTCATCCTACATTTGGACTTAACCAGGTACACATGACTAACTCTGTGTAATTCTTTCAATAATACATCCATGTCGATAGAGGGCAGTATATGCTACCCTACGGAGTCGATTAGGGCTAAGCTGCGAAAAACGGAATACCTTAGCATACCGTAATGTTTGAAAAATTATCTAATCAAAGCAATGGGCAGATTATTGCTAGTCATATGTGGAAAATAAAACAATATTCTCATAGGGAAATCTAGATTATATCTTAAGATTTATCTTTAGGTTAGATTATTTTCTTTTTATTTGTCTGCGGATGGCATCTCTTCTGTGGAGCTTGACATTATTTCTACGGCCGCCATCTTGGATGATAGCGTGAAGATGATGGGATCAGGGGGAGCACCGATTTTAGTGCTAAGTATGCATTGTTTATAACTTAAAGTTCGAAATTGAATTTTTCAGTTCTATTCTTCAAACTTTTAACTATATGTTTCGTTGCAGATCAAAACACAAAGAGAGAACAAGGACGTAAAGTTCAGCTCGGAAATGTGAAGGCTGCGAAGGTAAATTAGGCAAACACGTGTTGGCTCCTTAGAAACGCCTAGAACTTTTAGATCGTTATATATTTTCTTTTTAACTCTCCCATTGCGAATATCTTTCATATCTTTCCTGCTCTTTCGCACCTCAGCTTTGATTATGACTTTGTGAAATAATGTGTATTTGAAACTAATTCTTGAGAATAGTCGATTTGACAGAGCGACTGGTAATGTAATATGTCATTATCAAGCCCATAGTCTAATTCAGCGATCTTAGGCATTTGTATCTATATGTTAACGTTCCATAGGTTGTTAAAATGTTGATTCGATTGCATTAAGATGAATATGTTACATAGATTGCCTATTGAAAATATATGAAAAGATAAATGAAAAGATATATGAACTTGTTTTATTAGTTGTGATAGAAGGTGCTTTATTGCAATTAAACAACTTCAAATTTTAGACCATCGCTGATGTGATAAGGACATGTCTTGGGCCCAGGGCCATGTTAAAGGTAAGTTCAACATTGTTTGTAACAACAATTTTATTTTGACCCTCTTGATGTTTAAAATGATGAACAAAGACAAAGAACAGAAGACTATTACAAACTGTAACAAGAACACTGTTTATTATTACAGAGATTCCAAAAGTTGTTAAATCCTCTGGACAAATGTCCGGACACATATGAAAGTTATCCCGGCCAAAGCATTCTTGTCTGTCCAAAACAAAGCAAAATTAAATTAATCCTATTGTTTGTGCATAGGTAAATAGCAAAAGAACAAAGACTGTTTTTAATGATAAATTTTATTTAGGATAATCATCAGCTGTTTTGCAATTTCAGTTTACAATTAAAGTTCTGCCCTGAAAGAATAATAACTCTTCTGAAATATATTGGGATACTTTCTCATATTAAAATCTATCCTCTACCACAAAGTGTTTAAGTCACTCCAGTGATCCTTCATTAAAGCTAAAATGGTTTGACATCGTCATAATTATGAAGAAAAAGACACATAGCCAAGACTTTAAGGTTACCTTTAAGAGGCACCCTGCCATAAAGGCAGCTGCTCCCTACATGTGCATATTGCTTGTTTTGCGATCATTGACAGTCGATCTCCTGAAGCTCATACTTCCTGTATTGAGGAAGCCATTACTGTTAGCATTGGGGTCTGATGTAGATTTCCCCAGTGCTGCAAAATAGTACATGCACTTGAAATTAGCTGCTTGATCGTATATTAGCCAAGGTTGTCCTGACCATGCATTATTAAATAATCTCTCTGGCCTCTTCTTTTTCTTATCAACTGGCTTAACCATTTTTCACCTGGGTGTAGCACCCTGATATAATTGTTACTTGAAGAAATATCCATGGCTTAACCAAGTGGAAAAATGCGCAACTAGTTGTGATAAGTTTCACACTCATTATTTGTAGATAGCTGTACATGTTTAGAATTGGTCTGCTTCTGTATGGTTATTTGCGAGCTGTATTTCCAAACATTTTTGCTCACCCATCACTAGTTAGATATAGTACATTGCACTATCAACAATCAGATTAAATTTTTTTTCTTTATATATGCATACATTTCCACTGGACATTTGAACCTGCGACATCAGGAATTTTAAAGGGCCGAAAGGAAAACTGTTCATTAATTTCCCTGGTCTGATCCTTTCCTAATTTCTGTTATAATTATTTTTTGAACGGGTGTATGCCATGCTGCCTGTTTTGCCTTAAATCACCTTAATTTAATTTTTTCATGATGTAAACAAATACATGTTCCATATCATGTCATTGAAATTTTGCTGTACTAACAGAAAAAAGTTTCTCTTATTTTAATATGCCTTATTTACTTGCTCTTGAATTTTCATATTTATTGGGGTTTAAATTGAAATAAAAGGAGAAATTTTCAGACTCTGTGCCTTATATCCAATTTAGTTGGTGTGATTTGTTTGAATGGCATGAAGTTTGTGTTCAGTTATCATAAATATCGACATTTCAGTGCAAGAACCTAAATAATTGATCTGCAACAATACATAATAGTTCATAATGAATATGCCCTAAATATTTCGCCATTTGAAAGCTGTGATCAGTATTTTATAATGCTACAAAGCACCTATTGATTTGAAACCTGATTTAACCTTATTTGTTTAAGATTCCCAACTGTGCATTTTTGATGTTAACCTTTAAATCAAGCTATCGACTTGCTACACTTAAATGATCATTGGTTATATTTGATTGTTGATGATTATGCAGAAAAATGCTTGGGAAGTGGGAAAAGTGAGAGGGAATACAGGAAGCAGAGAATTGTACATTTAGAACTCCCTATTCATTGCATGTTTGGCAGTTTATTGTATTTTAACCCACTGGGAAGTAATTAGAGAGAAGATTAACAGATGCCCCCATCTTTTTTCCCCTAATATTCTGATTTTAGTTCCATCTAGATAAAAGAATCAAGTGCTGTAGACGGGTTTCTTGTCAATTTCTTGCAATTTGCATTGAGAATTAAGAAGATGATAAAATAGAACTACAGGCTTGCATTCTTAATGGCTCAAAATCCTTATCTAAGTTTGTTACCTGCTTTTAACTCTGATATTATCTTAGATACGTAGTTATGCGTTTCCTTGGAAACCTGTTCAATAATATATTATACGGCAGTGCAGTCATCACATTTATGCTTTTAGGTCAGACATTTAATAGTTTCTCAGTGACATTTTGAAAAATATTCTTTTTAAAGGAAGTTTGAAGAATCAGATGTTTTCCATTCATGCATCTGTAGTTTTATGTTATTTTTTAAATTGAATTTCAGTTAAGACTGCTTATCTCTGGCTGTAATAATGACAAAAAGAAACAAATATAGAAAATCTTAGTATTTACATTTTAGTATAAAACATGTTATTTAAAGGAGAACTCTTCAAACAATTTGTTAACTTCATTGAATTAGAATATTAGGCAAAGTTCAACATATAATGTGATCATTTCCATCTTACAGACTCTTGTACATTGAAGACATCATGAAAAAAGCTTACAGTCAGTTCTAAACCAAGTTTCCATAAGAGTTGTAGAGGAATATATAATTAAAAGGTTTTGGGCCCCAGTTTAAAAATGATATGGGTTGGCAACCCCCTGTAGGATTTATCAGAATTTGTGCTGTAATAAATCCTGTTATTGTCACTTTACCTGCCACAGAAAGTACACACAGTCAAAACATTAAATTTTTATCTAATATTCTTTACCTTCATATCGTCTCTGGCAGCCACACAGCATTGCTTTTGTGCTTCTCCTCTTGTTCAAGAATTGATAAGGTCTGGTAGCAAGGGAATGCCTCTTGCCCTGCAAATTTAGTTTTTTTTTTCTGCTGGCACAAGGCAGAACAGGCTGTTTATTCAATGAGCATGGCTTTATTGTACTGATATCGGAGACTGAATTCACCAGTGTCTATTCATCAGCCATTGAATCCCAAGTGGCTGTTCTATTGATAGATGGTCCACTCTTGGGTTGCAGTAAATTCTGGTCTGTGATAAATGATGATGATGTGGTCTGCAAATACATTTGATTAAAACGACTTTTTCCTGTTTCATTCTCAAAGTTGTGTTTGTGTTTCTCTCTTTGCCAGAGATAAGATAACAGAAAGCCTTGGGAATGATGGGTCCTTTTTGTGTATTGATTTTGCTTACATCTGATGAAGTGACATGATGCATAATTGATGGGAGCTTTGTCCTGGGTTTTGTGTCTTTTCTCAGTTACATTCTTGTTAGGTCAGATAGGAGAACGGTGTCTTATCTTGCAAATAATTTTTGGTTAAAAACCAAAGAAAACTTATGTTGAGGCATTTGTGTTTTACTCAAAACATAACGGCACAATTCCACAGATGCCTATTAGTATTACACAATATTTTCTAACTTTTGAACTAACCTTGCTAGGTTTAATAGAAGGCGAAGACTACAGAAACAAATGCAAAAAAAAAAAATGGTTAGAGAAATGCCGATTTCCATTGTGCCTTTGTGTCACCTTGAACACCTGATGGATTTGTAATTCAGTTGGGCCTTGAATTGAAACCGTTTCCCAGATATCTCAGCACATTATTCTACTTAATTCAGTCAAAGATATAATTCTTTCTTTTCTCTGTAGATGCTGATGGATCCCATGGGAGGCATTGTAATGACAAATGATGGAAATGCAATCCTGAGAGAGGTAAGAAAGGGACTTTCAGGTTACATGAGTCCTGATCAATGGCTGTAGATTGAGTGTTAAATATTATTTAATAAAGTGCCACTGAAGTGCCTTCAGGCTTACTTCATTATGTCATTAATTCTTTGTTTTGTCTGTGGTGCTTTCAGATCACTGTACAGCATCCTGCAGCTAAGTCTATGATTGAGATTGCCCGCACACAGGATGAGGAGGTGGGAGACGGGACCACATCAGTCATCATATTGGGTGAGTGAATGAGGAAGTTTACTTAAGCAAATGCCACTGCACTTCTTGCTGCAACATCTTCATAAAACTCTTGTCCTTCAGAGATTTTTATAAATTCAGAAAGATATCTTAGGTAAAACTTGTAAATTTTTCTGAATCAAATAAGATAGAAGATCAGTAAAGAGTTACTTTGGAAGGGCTCTTTTTGTCTGTTGCCAACATTTTCAAAAATGTGTATTTTTGATTATTTTCTTATTTTTCTTTCTTGTCCTCTTTTTAGCTGGTGAAATGCTAGCAGTTGCTGAGCCATTCCTCCTGCAAGAAATGCACCCGACCATCATAATATCGGCCTTCAGACAGGCCCTGGAGGATATGGTGGAGATTCTAAGGGAAAAAGCTAGGCAAGTTTTAAAAAATNCAGTCAGGTCACACCAGGGAAAAATTTCCCTGTATACACTGAAACTAGAATGATATTCTCAGTTATTGCGCAAAAGCTGCCAGTTCTTTAAAATTGGTTTAGGTATCACAAAAAATGCACACCAAATGTTGAAATAAGTGAATTGATTCTAGTGAGACTAAACACATTTTTAACACACGAGAATGGAATTTCCACGTTTCATCAAAGGGTTACATTAGGTAGATAACTTGAGAAACAATTTACTTCTTTCAGTACACAAGTGGTGATAAAAAACCTATTTTGCAGTATATTAAGTGTTGGATGCAATTGGAGTTTTCAGCTTTGAATGTAAGAAATTAATACATGCATTATTTTAAGCAAATGAACCCAAATGCTGATTGATCTGCTTTAAGAAACTGATACCATGTAATTGAACATAAATGAAGAGACACTAAATACTAACCTACACATGCCATAGCTAGAACTACAGCTATTACCGCAGCACACTTCATCTTAACTTTTCAGCTGAGGAGAAAATGCTCTTTGGTCTGCAGTACAACACTGTTTGTGTTGAAAAAGGCTTGGTGTTGCTAGGTGTTTTGGTGAACAACAAAGGATCACTTGTTGCATATTTTTTGCAATCACCCTTGTCTTTCTGTATTTGAGGGCAAAGACAAATAGTAATCTAAATGACTTATGGCTTGTTATTTTTTAAAACTTCTTGTTAGCTTTCCATTTTAATGGGACCTTTTTTTTTTAAAGCTTGGCAGCTGGAAGTGATATTGGCATAGTTACATGAATTTTTTTTATCCTAATGTGCCTCTGAAAAAAATTAATCTTTCTAAAGGTTCTTTTGTATTGTTTTTATCACAGTGGTGCATTTGATGTTGAGTGTAAGAGTTGTCAGCCACCAATATAACACTTTTGTTGTATATATTAATTTTTTTCTCATTGCAGACGAATTGAAAATCCCAGAATAGTTCTATTAGACTGCTCATTAGAATATAAGAAAGGAGAAAGTCAGGTTGGTGCTTGTTTTGATAGCTGGTGCCTTTTTTTTTTTTTTTTTTTTTGTAATTTTAGCATGATAATAATATTGTTAATTCTATGGACTTAGACATTATTATTAGCTTAGGACATGTTCGTTTTCCAATAAATTATTTTATTTAATACTGCTTATAGTGCATGCATACTAAGCGTGTGCCTGTGTGTGTGTGTATGTTTACAGCTTTTATGGTATAAATAACATACTGGCATAGACTTTCAATTTACTATTGAATTTATTTTGTCATTCAGACCAATGTAGAAATTACCAAGGATACTGACTTTGGGTAAGTATTTCCTGGAAATGCTCTTTGAAGATCAATTTCTTTAAAGACCAGTAGTTTCTTTTAAGGTTAATTAAGTTGTGACTCTCCCTCCCCAAAAAAATAAATAAATAAATAAACAAAAACAGTAGTTCAAAAGGCTGAAACGAATGGGTTTTTATTTAGGAAATTGCTTGAGCTTGAAGAGGAGTATATTCAGCAGATCTGTGCTGATGTGATCCGTGTGAAGCCAGACCTGCTGTTCACAGAGAAGGGCATCTCTGATCTGGCACAACACTACTTAGTCAAAAATGGCATCACTGCCATTAGAAGAGTCAGAAAGTCGGACAATAACAGGATAGCAAGGTAGCGTAGACATGGGGTGATAATGTAAGCGAATATCGACTGGAGTGTAATGTTAATCAAATGGAGTTGTCATTTACTAGGAAAAGGGTTCAGTTATAGAAGTGTGAAATTACCATGATGTGCCCAATTTTTAGCATTTTCAGAATTTTATTAAATAGCTAGAAATTTGATTTAAGATTAAAGGATAAGAGATGAGATGACAATAATGTAGAAAAAGCTGAATTGTAAAACAGATATCTTGATCTATTGTCAGATGACTTTTAGAATTCCCGTGTAATTTTTTTTCACTACTCAGAGCCACGGGAGCAACTGTAGTGAACAGGACTGATGAACTCAAGGAGGAAGATGTAGGAACAAAGTGCGGACTCTTTGAAGTCAAGAAGTTTGGGGATGAGTAAGTAATCCTCTATAGTCACACTGCATCTATAAGTGATTATAACAAGAATGATACAAGCAGATTTTATACACAGCACTTTACTCAACTTAAACACTATATAACACTCTGTATGTTGTAAATGTTACATAAGAATATATGAATTAAAGTTGATTGCAATTTTAAATATCTTCTCAATATTCTGATTTGAATTACTCCATCCATCTATCCATCCATGCTCACATTCAACTTCCTAAATATCCATTACTGTTTATTTTATAAGAATTTAATGAAATCTTTTTATCTTGACAGGTATTTCACATTTCTGACCGAGTGCAAGGACCCCAAGGCATGTACCATCCTGCTTCGCGGGGCCAGTAAAGACATCCTGAACGAGGTGGAGCGTAATCTGCAGGACGCCATGAATGTGGCCAGGAATGTGATGGTGGACCCCAGGCTGGTGCCAGGAGGCGGGGCCTGTGAGATGGCGGTGGCACAGGTAAGGGCATTTAGAAAAGTGGACTGCTGCTCCATAAAATTGCATTACTTAAACACATCTGCAACAGGTCTAGCATACCAAGGTACTTTCTTAAAATCATTGAAGAAATGATCCTAGTTTTTTTTTCTTTGTATATTTAAAAAAATTATACAAACCTTTCAGTGATCAGACTGATTTGGAATTAGTGAAGTTCCTGAGCTCTGCATGTTTATACAAGTCTTAAGCACCATATTAGTATTGATTAAAAAAAAACGTTTAATTTAAGATGCCCTTGTTCTGTAAGCAGAAATCACATACCTAGCATCTCTAGAGGGTCCTGCTGAGTCAGTCAGTATCAGCAAGACTCATGATAGATGCAACATGAATTCTGGCTGCTTTTGCCTCTGAGTTATTCTTTCATGGAAGACTTAGATTCTTAGCAGCTAACACAGATGTTTTGTAAATACTTATTATTAGTCACAAGTTTGAAGAATTATAGTTTACAGGGTGGTCCAGAAAAAGTGACTTATTTTAAATTGAGATGTAAAATAGGTTTTTTTTTTATGGACCATGTCGTACTTAACAAATCAAAAAGAAAATTGTGTTAGATAAAATATTTTTGCCAAGGCCCTGATGTCTCTACAACATGACCTATTTACTAGTGAACTTATATAAAAAAATTATTTTGATAATTAAAAGCTTTTGATTGATTGATTTTTCTGCGATTTCCAGCTGTATTATTTATTCTCTTTTTATTTTCAAGGCACTGAACGAGAAGGCCAAGACAATCACCGGTGTACACCAGTGGCCCTATAGAGCCGTCTCCAAGGCATTGGAAGTGGTGCCCAGAACCCTGATCCAGAACTGTGGCGCCAATACCATTAGAACCATCACTGCCCTTAGAGTAAGGGACTTTTAAGTTACAATTTATGGAAAAGGGGGTTTAGATATTAGTTAACCTAATATACTTTTCCATTGATGCAAAATATAAATTTCTGTGTTTTGTCAAGATGCAAATACTGATGTAAACAAACTAGTCTAAACATGGCTGCAAACTTGTTTCAGTTTTTAAATTGCTGCTGTTTTTCTTAACATTGTTCTCTTTGTAAGACTTATTTCAGTTTAATATTAAAAAATAATATGATTTAAAATAAAAAATTGAAATACTTGATTGCAATATTCCAGGCTAAGCATGCCAGTGAAGGCAACATGTCATGGGGTATTGATGGGGAGAAGGGAGAGCTGGTGGACATGAAGCAGTTTGGAATCTGGGAACCCATGTCTGTAAAAGCACAGACATACAAGACAGCCATTGAGGTATGAAAAAACTTAGATACATTTTATTTAGAATTATTTAAAGTTTATGTAAGGTTATTTAAAATTATTCCAAGATTGTTTTTTTTTTTTTTTTTTTTTTTTCCAAAACCAGATATTGGTGGTTCATTTGGCACATACCTGTAAATAATAGAAAAAAAAGAAAGAAAGAAAATGATGCCTTGTGAGTAGAACTGAAATGATCTGGAAAACTTTTTTTCTCAGATGGAAATGAAGGTACATTGTTGCTTTGTTTCTCCATTTTAGACTGCTATATTGTTGCTGCGTATAGATGACATCGTGTCTGGCGTGAAAAAGCAGGCTGATTTGGACAAACCTCAGGCAGGATTTGAACCAGCACCAGAAGCACCTGAACAGTAGACAGCTGAAGTGATGGACACCAACTTAACTGGTTTGACCGGTCACAGTGTGAGATGTGCAGTGATAGAGTATCAATATCGGTCACATGGCAGTTTCTTTGGAATGAAACTTATATTCTACCTAGGACAAAGTGCAAACCATTTGGAATGTAAGGACCCATATTGTATTGGTGTATGATCTCAATCATGAGCCACTTTGTGTATTTGTAAAAGGCAGGATGAATATTCGTACAGCATCAGTATTGAAGATGAGAAGAAGCTGCTAAAATGTTGGATACGCATATAATGTTTATAGGCAAAATTGAATGAGAGTTTAAGAACTGTATTAATACACTGTGTTGAAGAAAAAAACATTTCATTTAATGCATCAGACTGGGAATATTCATGTTCAAGGTGTTTTTTATAACAAATATTTATTATAAATTTGAAAGAAACGGATTTGGCATTGAAATTACGAGAGCATTTCTCATAAAGCTTTACTTTTAATAAATGAGATTGTGAAACTCCCTGTTATTAATTGTGCAAACAATCTGTAATTACAGTACTGATTTTATACATGCAGTATCTACCAAATGTTTGGTTTGTGTTTGTTAGCTAGAAGCAATTATGTTGAAATATATCCGGTACCTGGCTGTGCCTTTGTAAAATGATTGCTGGAGTTGTGATTATTATTATAAAAATCAAGGTACCTTGAGACTTAAAGGTTTCACTGCCTTACAACTCATCCTCAGATTTGGTGGAAAATATTTTTCTTTTAAATCCAGTTTGAATAATATCATGCATGGTAACGTGATCAGAACACCCCCCCCCCAAAAAAAAAAAAAAAAAAAAAACTGGCTTTGACTTGTTTATACTTGTCATGCTGATGTAGCATTTTTCAGACAGATAGTTGGCTGCATTACCTCATTTAAATATTGCTTGAGACCAAGGATGTGATCAGTTTAGTATCTTATTCATTGCCTTTTATGCACTAAAGACGAGATTTCTTCCAGGACAAAGTAAATGGTTACACTAGTAGGAATGCTTTCACTTCTATTGGTTGCTTGGTACTTCCATTCCTCCATTTATTCTAAATAGAAACAATTTATAAGGTCTTCCTGAGAAGCATATAACATTTATTATGCAAAATCAGTGCATTATTTAACACAAGAAAAAGTACGCCTTGAGGTAAATGTTTCACTTCTACCCATCGTCTGCTTTAGAAAACCTCCGAATCTAAAAAGGCATCTGGTTTGCAGCAGTAGCCTCGGTGGCACGGGCATATTCCATTGTAATAAAAGAAGCCTTCGCTGCCCATCTATCTCAAACAGCCTTATCACCCCAGGGGGTGGGGGGTGCACAAGACACTTTATCGGTGTTGCTCCATAATCCTTTCTTTGGTGCCCGTACGAAATCGATACTTACTGTACGAACTAAACATATTGCTTTAATCATACTCATTTCTTTTACACCCAATGAATATTTTTGGATCATTTTTAAAAAACGAATGGTATAAAATGTAACACCTCGTCATTTTGAGAGAAAAAATGCCGAGATAAATATGTTAGTGGCCAGGAAAATTAAAAAGTACCGGTTTTGTTCCATCATTACAAAGGGCCGGTGTCATGTACCAGAAGGTCCCCCATGACAGAAAGTCCATAGGACCCCTGGTTTCTGAAATAACGGGTCCCGGACTCTGTATCATGGTAATTGGATATAATATACAGGGTCCCCCGGACCCTGCATTTAACCGGACCCTACGTTTCATGACAGCTATCACGAAACACAGTGTACGCCCGTCATACAGAAGAAATGGGTCTAAATGCTAGGGTCCTACTGTAGAACGGTAGATATTTAGTAAAAGTGCTTTATATTGACTATCTGGGTATAATAGAATTATAATAAAGCAAACCCTTGATGCAAGTAAATATAATATAACAAAACGGCGGTGGTTTGCACAACGACCTGGTGGTGTAGTGGACAGCGACACTGGTGATGAGTCTATTATGTTCAAGGTGTTTTTATAACAAATATTTATTATAAATTTGAAAGAAATGGATTTGGCATTGAAATTACAAGAGCATTTCTCATAAAGCTTTACTTTTAATAAATAAGATTGTGAGACTCCCTGTTATTAATTGTGCAAACAATCTGTACCCCATAATGATTCGCAACCCCTCCACAAGTGTACATTGCTTATTCCATGTACAAATATGGAAATGGTCACATGATCAACAAAAATGGAATATTTGCTGGTACTCGTTTCGGAAATAAAATGCACATAATACTTAAACCTTTTGTTGTCCGAAAATTCATTTTAAAGGGGAAATAAAAGACAAACACAACTAAGTGATAGTTTGGCCCGACAATCTGTGCTAGTAGTTTGGAATGTGACCTGGGTCCCACCCAATTTTCATGCCACTCAATTTTCGTTTCTACAACGATCCGTGTATGAAGTTTTAAAGTAAAGAATGTGCTCGTGTGACAGTAAAAGTTCGTACACGCAACGCACTCTTGATCTCATTAAATAAGTTTGAATTTGAAAAAAAAAAAGAGAAATAAACATGGAGTGCTCAACATGGTTCGCTGCATGTCCAAAGTGGATCCCGCAACGTTAATACGTATCCATTCTTGATTACACGTTACTTGACAAAGTTTCCCTGACGGGTATTAATGGGAAAATATTCGTTTGTCCGAAATGTTGGATTCAAATTCGGACAGGTCATATTTATGACCATCTGTCCGAAGGACGGGAGGTTATAAAAGTTAATGTCGAGTCCTGGGATGGCCTGTAAGTTGAAAAGTATTTGCCACGGACCGGTATTAGCAGGTCAGATGAAGAAAAATATAATTATTCTTATTTGAACCGTTGGAAAAAAATTGCCAACATAGACTGCATAAACTGGAAAACATAGTAACTTAATCATGCTTGTGCATTCATGAATTACTGCTTATGTGTAAAAATATGCGTTCGTTTCTTTTCTATTCTTTTGTAATAAAGGGATGGTTTTATGCACAGATACAACCATCAAGGTACTTGAAAGAGAAGTTGACTTAAGAACCATTTTAAGCCTATATAGTAAATTATAGTTTAAAATTCTATATCCATGCAGGTTTTTTTGTCATATCTCAAACTTCAGAATGTTAACATTACCATTACTATTGTATTAATGTATCTGCATCACCTATATTATAAAAGCCCTGTCACTTTATATTTTGCACAGGTATATATTATCTGAATAATATTTTTTTATTAGTGTTTAGCATATTCTTCGTATGGTGTATATACTTCTTCACTGACAAATGTGAACAGAGATATTATAAATAATACTAGTATGTGTTAAAATTTATATATACATATCCTAGGAATAAATTTTCAAAATGGAAAATTTTAAAACCAGAATTCACAAAACTGTTACATGCCATGGCGCTGCCACAAGCTATGGTTAATATTTTATTTGTATGTATGATAGTTTTACAAACGGTACCTGTTAAGATTATCCTGAAAGGAAAAAAAATCAAGATTGAGAAATTGAAAACCAAAATTAACAAAACTGTTACATGCCTGTGGCGCTGTCACCACCTGTGAACACCACGTGCAAAATTATCCCCCCCCCCCCCAAGAAAAAAGGAGGGGGGTTCAGGATTAAGAAATTAAAAATCAGAATTAACAAAACTGTCACAATCTACCGATATACGTATATGGAACGTTAGTGCTGCAGGGTCCACACATTTATGTATTTAATTTATATTAAGACAGGAAAGTAAATCCAGAAACTGGATTTTTTTACATACGGACATTTCTAGCACTTTTGGTATCATTAGGCATACACGTATATTTGGCATAGGTCTATATGATTTTTAATATCTTCTTAATACTTCAGTTAAAATGTCCTTCCTTGTTTATTCGCTGGTCAGTATGACCGTCAAAACTACGCGGTGTGACTCGACAGAAAGCGTGCCATAGCGTCCTATTTCCGTGTATGGTCAGCACTATATAAGCATAAATTACGAACGAGCCGGTGTCAAAAGCTGCAAAGATGCCGTCTGTGTTGGATCAGATCAAGGATCACACTGTTGTTGTGGCTGACACGGGCGATTTTGAAGGTAGGTAATAGTTATCCTTGTGTTGACACTAGTAGTTTTTGTTATACATGTGCATTACGTAATACTGCACTGCGTTAATAAATTGAACGATAAGCCCAACGGGTGCTTTGATTTGAGAGAAATTATTCTTTACTTTTAAACAGAAAGATTCACATATGATGGAGACCCAGCTATTTATATCATCTTTACTATTAAAGCATTTGAACTCCAAGTTTGGGTATGTAGCATTGCATGAGAGCAGTAATGAGCAAATGAAAACATCAAATTTGTTAAACCGCCTTACGTTAAATAAATTCGCACGCATTAAACGTCATAGGTTGTGCGTAACTACACATGCGCTAAGATTTTTTTTCATTGGCCGGGCAGCCAGCGGATCATTTTTAGAGAAGAAATGCAAAGATGAGTGAAAACAATACGTTGTTTTTAACCGAAGGCGATGTCCCCGGGGCGAAACTGCCACGCCAAATGTAGATGATCAAACTAACGTTTTGAAACGATGTGTTCAAAGGCGAATTGGGGGGGGGGGGGGAAGCAGGGCCCCGTATCTCGAAAGCATCGCTTATGGCGAGCGGGCGCAAGCATGGTGATTCCTCGCTATCCCATATGTCGAAAGCCTCCAAAATAGCGACCGTGAGCTAATACGTAATAGCGAAATCACCATTAGTTTCGAGGCTATTATTTGCGGCGAGTAAAACCCGTCGCAATGGCCTCTGCGTATGCATAATTCGTCATTTTAATGTGTGTTTCATGCAATTAAACGTGGCGGCAAGTTTGGGTTGCTACTTATAATAGCATATATTAAAACATATAACAAAAACATGGAAGCTTATAATAGATTGAATCACTCGGTACCTCTGATAGAAAAACTTGCGGTAAATATTCAAGTGAAGAATGCTAAAGTCATGTTTTATTATACATAAAAATGTCAAAATTAAACATTTCATACATCATTTTATGATGAATATAATTCATCTGTGCAGTCTAATGATAATATTCATAAATTTAAAAGTGTCATTTTCTACACAAAATGAAAAAGCAGAAACAAAGCATTCGGTCGCACCGTGACCTTCCTCAATGTCTATTATTGTAAGACTGAACAATACTTACCAATGTGTCATGTAATTGTGTCAGTCCAAGCTTCGCTTATTGGATTCTTTTTGACATTTTATTGGTGTCAAACACTTCAAATATCAGTATTTGTAATTATGATATTCCTATAAATAAAAACAAACTCTTGATTAGCGTCAAGGTTAAAAAAATTACATTTTATGTGTTATGACGTCTTCAATTTATGCGGCAATCGAAATTTTAGTAGAGTTTGAGGTTATAATTGCGTTGCGTTTGCTAAGGCTTCGAGATAGCAGGTGGGTGCAATCGCACTCGCAAATAGCGTGGAATCGCCATGCTTGCGCCCGCCTGCAACGAGCGAAGCTTTCGAGATACGGGGCCCAGAACTGTTAGCGAGGCACTGTGTACACGTGAACCAGCAAAGTTAATGATAAACTCATGTTGCAAAAACATAATTAAACGAAAGCGCAGACCTCCACCAAGGCAGCCAATTTGATTATTATTGATTATTGATTGATTATTGATCCGGATCACCACCAAAAACTTATCATCTCTTCCTTTGCCCACTTCTGATAGTTCCTGAAAATTTCATCAAAATCGGTCCATAACTTTTTGAGTTATGTTGATGACAGACAGACAGACAGACAGACAGACAAACAAACAAACAAACAAACAAACAAACAAACAAATGGTTGAAAACAAAACCTCCTTGGCGGAGGTAAACATGTAGATCAATTATCAACAAGAGAACTTGGGAAGTTGGTGTGATCTTGTCCCTGAAGCTGTGCCACAGGTTTTCAACTATGACAATGTTTACCAGAGTTCTGTGTTGCCACCACGGCCTTCGTTGCGTGGGTCGCAATACTTTCAGGTTATGTGGGGCAGATTTATTACAAGAGAGACACCTCCATATTGTACTTCAAAGGAGTTGCCCCTGTGCCTTTGCCTCATCAAAAGTACACAGTGACAACGACTAGGACATTGTCTGCAAACAGTGGGGCAAGGTGTCATTGTTTTACGGCATTAAGAATGACAGTATCTGTTTTGTTTTAATCTTTTTTATTATTTTTTTTATGGGAGGGAGACTTCTTTTGTTCTTTTTATACCCACTGACAATATAATGCAAAACACTGTCATGACTGTATGTAGATTTTCCCTTGTTTGTACATTTGTTGAGTACATTGTTTCTTGACTTGTGAATGAAAGAAACCTGTAAAAATATCTACTGTACACACATTTTGTGATATTTTTTACTATTTCATATATATAAATATCTTAGCAGTCGAGGTCTGGAAGGTATTTGCATTTTAGTTATGTTGATCTATGTATCTGATTATTATATTAGTGATACATACCTGTAGATCTACGTACTAAATCAGTAGGGTTATATTGCAGTAATAACTGTAGATGTGCATGAAAATGACCTGTATGTTTGATATTTAACTGGTTTGAAAAAAAAATCAAAAATAGCTCAAATAGAATAAACCCGTTTCATATTTCACATATAATCTGCTTCATTATTTCTTTTAAATAAGCATTTAATCATAACAGCTCTCATCATTATACCGTTATTGTATAATAGTATTGAAAGGTTCAAAGTTTCCATTAATAGGTTGTTGTGAAAGTGTTGCAAATAAATACAAGCATCACAGCTTTTTTTCTTATTGAAATATTTCAAACATACCACTGATAAATTAGGGATACAGGTAACAATGGCAGCATTACTAACTGGGTTGACAACGCTGTTAGTGTCAGATCGTTACCTGTTAAAGTTTGCTACTAGTACCAGGGAACAAAATGTCTGGCATTTAACAACAAGTTGATAAAGTCACAATAAAGCAGGTAAAAAATAGAACGTGCATCTCGAACGATGTCTTGTTCATATTCTTGACAAAGGGGAGCGTTACTGGTGTCAAGGACCAAATCTTGAACTTTGGGGTTTGACATGTCAATGTAGGCCTACTTTCCTATCGATTTCTGCTCAAATCCAACAAAGCTTCAGTTGCTCAACTTTTTCCCAATTTTCGGTATATACAGGTTGTGTTATTCTATGCTCGGGGACCCCCTTCTCTGTCGGCGGTTAATCGGGGACACCTGTGCGGCCTGTCAAAGAAGGCCCTACCTAGACTCACTTTTGCAAGTGCCGTAAACATATTGCTTATTTACCATTGCCGTAAATATCAAAACAAAATGAGAAATAATCACAGTTATGAAAAATGTTTGGAAGTAGGCTACTTGTCAACCCCTGTTAACCGTATGTGCCGTACAACTGTGCTGCCCGGTCTCCACATCTTGCGGAGCCAGAGTGCACAATCCGGGAATTAAAAGTAACTAAAAATAACCTCGTTGGTGGTTTGTCTGCCTTGTTGGTTATAACTTCTAATATTCAGATAATGATGACCGTTCACTCAGTTCTTAATAAAATCAAACAACCTTCAGTCCTTTGCATACGATGATCAAATGTCTAGAGTGTATTTTACACCAATGCTTCACTTACTTTCCCTTTAGTTTATTGGAATCGGATTTGCACATTACCTGGTTGCTAGACCTCTTGTTATCAAGAGGTTAGTGCTATGGCGCTCACATGTAGTTACTGAACATATACAATCCAATTTTTTAAAATTATTTGGATTATAGCTATAAATCTTGTTTGCATAAGTAAAATATTCTTTTATATGAAAGAAAGTACAAATAATAAACATGTTCAGATTTTCCCCATTCTTTATATTATTTTGATTGCAACTGGTAAAGAAATTGTTGAGGGATATTTTTTTCACACTGAACAAATCCACAATGTTCAATCTAACTAGGAAGATTTCGGATGGTGAAACAGCAAAAATGTAAGCCATGTGTACATAATTCCCGTTAACCTTTATGACGCAGTCGTGTTTATTTGCCACTGTCATGGAATATTTACGCTTTGCATATTGCTTTTTGACTATTGTGAATATGACCATAAAAGGTAAAAATGTGAATCTAAGTTAGGTGTTTTATCAGAGTATTTTTTGTTGGTTTTAAGGATTAAAATCAGTTATTATAATATATCAGCCAGAGGTGGTTGACCTGAAAACTATGCAAAAGATTGATACGATCCATCCATTTTGTGGCATGACATAACTCACCCGACACGTGCCTGCAGTTTGAGGCAATGCACAGTATCTTTTTATAGCAACTATATGTTTAGTTGGCTGACGATGACTTATATATAAACAAACAGGGTGAAGCGAAAAGACGTAAGGAATGAACGAAATTTTGTTTTCAAGATTTTTGTTTTCAAATACTCATAACATACGACCTGTCCTGACAGCTCATCCTGCAATTTCACCTGTCCGAACTGAAATTTTAACTGTCGGTGCCGAGCCCTGTATCTAATGAAACTTTAGATGACAGATTTTGTCGTGACATGCAGTTCTATACAAGTTCCTATTCAAGGACAACAGAATGTCAGTTGAGCATGACGATAGAAATCTTTTGCAATTTAACTGGAAAGTTATGACAACAATGTCATGGAGGCTGCATTACGCATGTAAGTGCTGTATGTGATATATTAATGGGGTTTTCAATTAATGTATAATTTCCTCATAATTTTTTTTTTCGTTTTGAACAGAACTATTAATATCAAGGAAAATAATTGAATTTTATTGATTCTATAATTGCAGAACATGAGCACCAAACATGAATTTCCCATGCACGTCAACTCTCCAGGACAATCTGGGAGTCTCCCAGATACAAAACGAATCTCCCGGTCTCCCGTACGGGTAACCAAATCTCCCGGATAAAAGCGACTTTGAAAATTTGCACTACTGTCAGCTTCATAATTCTCTTCTAATTGTCTGGGGGAAGGGGAGAGAGAGTGGTCGCTCCCTCACCCCCCTCTCCACTAAGCAAAACGGCAGCGAC